CAGGAAGGTCCCAAGCGCATTGGACCATTGGATCCGTAGTTCAATGACGATACCGAAGTACCCATGTCCGATCCAATAAGAATGGCCAAAGGCTGCGTGGTGTCTCACGTTGGATGTCCAGTGTAACTCAAACCTTTTGGCCTGCCATGCTGACTGTCCCACCATGTTCCAAATACCAAAGGACAGTGAACCTCAGTATGCTGTCGACCCTATGCGGGGCATTGAGAATCAATGTTTTAGCCCTTGTCACGTTGCATGGTTTTCAGTAGGTTTTGACCACACTCGGCGCCGGCATATGGTTCAACTGAACCAGGCGATACTAGTCGACTGGGTACAAAGAAGAAGGCTTTTGTTGGGCAAATCACTCTTCAAAGCCAACATTCCCCAAGCAAGTGGTAGCAGAGAGTATCATCCTCAGAAACCTACGTACATGTGAGTGCTATGGGTTGCTTTAGTGAATCGGCGATGTACAAGAAGCTAAATACGCTGAATAAAAACGTTCGTCAGACTTCGCCCTAGTTCCTCTCTGGCCCATTGGAATATACTCGACACCAATATATTTTTTGGGGGGGGAAGGTGCAATGTTCTCCCTATGCTTCAAGTGCCAGCCCAATCCCTCCAATTTGCAGGATGATGAGCTCGAAGTGGATTCCGATGAGGAGGGCAAGGCGGATCGACGATGATTCTTCTACTGCGGCCGTGCAGTTGCAGTGACATGCAGCTGGAACTCCCGGTGAGGTTCCACAAACATGATAAGGAAAGCAGTTTTCCCTTTGGTAGCCCACTTGTGTAATCAGTTTTTTCCCCTGGCCCTCTGATAGATCACTTGTGTTCACGTTGACACTGTTTAGATCTGTTTGTTGGTGAAGAAGGGCTTAGAGCCTCATCTGTTAAGAAATGGCCAGAAACTGACCATGTGCCAGCATTCTTGCCGTATCTCTACTACCGACCTTCACAAATAGGCCATTCACTTCGACCTCTCATTCCAGGCTCAAACCTCGACGGTAAAGATCCTCACCAAGCATGCGCGAAATCAGGCGCGGCACGGCGCGGCACCTGGCCGAGGGAGTTTGACCGAGGTTCACAGCCGGAAATGGAGCTACTAATAGCTCCTGGCATCGCTATTAGGAGCAAGGACGCTACTAGGGCTCCTGGCCATACTACTAGTAACAAGAAGCTACTAGAGCCTCCTGGCCTTACTACTAGGAGCAAGGACGCTAGAAGAGAAAAGAAAAGGCAATGTTTCTTAATATATATATATATTAGTAAGGCACTTGTTACTAGAAGCGATGCACTTGTTCCTAGTAGCGAAAAGAAAGGTTTTGAGCTCTGAAACCAGAAGCTACTAGGAACAAGTGCATCGCTTCTAGTAACAAGTGCCTTATTAGTAGTAACGATTAGTAATTAGAAAAGGAATCTACTTTGACAGTCGAACTCTTGGAACGTGCCTGTTTCGGGTGCCAGGGCTTCCTCGAGGAGGCTCCAGCCGAGGCCGACAGTCTCGACAAGTGCGCCCACGTGGAGCCGTCCACCGGGACATGCGGCTAAGTGCCTCGCTAGTAGTAACAAGAAGCTATTAGAAACAAGTGCCTTACTAGTAGCAAGGACGCTACTAGGGGCTCCTGGCCCTACTACTAGGAACAAGAAGCTACTAGTAGCTTCTGGCATCGCTACTAGGAGCAAAGGACGCTACTAGTAACAAAATGCAACAAAGGGCCTGGGACGCTACTAGGAACAAAGCGCTTCTTTTCGTTTCGTTTCTTTCTTTCTACTTTAGGCCTCTCTTTTGATATGGCTCAAGGAGTCTCTCGTGGTCCCGCGAAGTGTTCCAGGAACTATCCACATCCAACCTCTGCCTCAAACCCCTCCGCATCGGCAGAGCTCCGCTCCTGAGGTACATGTCCGATTTGACGAAGAAAGCCCCGGGGGAGAAGGAGATGGGCTGCTCATGGCATGAAAAAACCGGTCGCCAGGGGAATGACGTGTGGACGAGGGGAAGAATTCCCATCAATCTCTGGGTGTTTTTCATTGCAGGACTTCACCTTAGCAAGGACGCTACTAGGGGCACTACTGGCCTTACTCCTAGGAACAAGAGGACGCTACTCAATTGGCATCGCTACGATCGGAGCAAGGACGCTAACTAGATTGGTTGGGAACTGGACAAGTGCTGGTTGTGCACCTGTGTCCTGCGTGAGTCTTTTTCTGGTGCCCTTCCATCAATTGGTTTATTGTCGGGGACTGGTGACGTAGGCGGGGAAAACCCCCTGGGAAAACCTTTGGAAAGACCGACCCGCTATGTTGTGGACATGTTCAATGCACATGCTCTGTCGTTGGAAAAGCTTACAGCACACTCCCAAAACGCAAGGACGAGGCACTAGAAGTTCACCTGCCCAGGTGTTTTGTATGATTCCCTTCATCCATGTGAGGGCCTCTTTGCGGGGCGTTTTGATCAACTCCCATCTATCTCGTGCAGGAGTCAGAAGATGCTGGTATGGGGGTGCGCAGAATATGGCATGGGCACGTGTAACACTGGGCGGTGGCCGCATGCAACCAAACATGTCAGACCTGGAAAAACTGCATCGGTTTGAATCAGTAGTATTCACCAAGCAAACAACTTACAAGTTTTGACAAGTGTGTTGATCCAATAGTCCCAGCCCCTCGGGATTGTTCTCGACGTTCGCCTCCCCCCGAGCCTGCACGCTGTGGCTGAAGGATGCATGGGAACGATAAAGTCCATGCGGTACTTCTGTGAATAGCTCCAGTTCGGACATCCGCACCGGGTTTTGTACTGAGAGACCACACCAACAAAAATGTGTCTCAGTGTTCAAATTGAAAAGTCCATCCTGTGGTTTGTTAAAGGAAACTTGTAATTATATGTGTTCTTACGCTGTCCATCCTGTGTTTCGATTGATTCTGCTCTGCGGTCCCTGTGTTTGGAAGTATCGTGGGAGCTTCATCACGGTTCGTGGCATTCTGAAACTGTTCTTTCTTCGGATTCGGAAAGGTGATGGATTCCTCCAGGGTGAAGTCCATTACACTGGAAGAGATTGAGGCGCGGGAGTCCAGCTGTGGTCCAGGTTGCGAATCCTCTACTTGCTTCGTCTAATGCCAACAGCCTGTGTATGAGGATGTACAAGGTACTAGCCTGAAATGCGTTTATGTTTGTTGAGGGCAAAGGCAAGGCAAGGTCATATGCAGGCAATCCCCAAAAGTGGCAGGTCTAGGAGCACTGCGGTGTGAAGGAATGAATTTTGCCTAATAGCAAAGGAACCGAATAGCGATGGCCTCCAACCTACAAGCGGCCTCCAACGTAGGAATGAAACCACCTGAAACAACCGAAGATCCTTCGTCTGACGGATCTCTTCGGTCCCAGGGGCCACATAGTGATGTACATCGGTAGCTTCTAATTGAATTCTAATAGCCTTTTGTTCCTAGTAGCGATGGCAGGAGCCCCGTTCGTAGCGTCCTTGCTCCTAGTAGACCAACCATATAGGTGTTCTCATGATGTACAATGTCCTCAGGGGCAAGACTTCGGTCCTCGATACGGAGAGTGCAAGATCTGCTTCAGTCCAAGCAGAAAGAGAGAAGGAGCCAATGATATGTGCTGGAACTTGTTGCGGATTTTTCAGAATATCTAGCTGGACTCTGTGGAGATTCCCAGAAACCTGATGTTTCACAGTTACCATTGATAGCTATTCTACTAGACTAGGTTGGAGGCCATCGCTATTAGTAACAAGGGCATCGCTTCTAGTAGCAAGAATGCTACTAGTAGCTCCTGGCCTTGCTACTGGTAGCAAGGGTGCTTCTAGGTTGGAGGCCATCGCTTGTATGTTCCTTCTGCTATTCTGTTCCTTGTACTCCCTCCGACTCACCGGGTCAACGCGCCGAAGAGTGCTTGCCGGCCAAAGAAAAGTGTCCTTAAGGCACCAGAGTTCTTAGGCATCTTTGTTTTGTGGAATGCATACCTGTTCGTAAAGTCAATGAGGTGTTGCCGAGGATTCTTTAAACAAGAAGCTACTAGGAGCAAAGGGCATCGCTACTAGTAGCAAAGACGCTACTAGCAGCTCCTGGCCTTACTACTAATAACAAGAAGCTTTTTAGTATATCTTCGAAGCTTTCTAGTAACTAGAAGCTTCCTTGGGAATCGTTTCACCTGTAGTAACAAGAAGCTAGTAGTAACAAGTGCATCGCTTCTAGTAACAGGTGCCTTACTAGTAGTAACAAGAAGCTACTAGTAACAAGGTTTCTTCCTGTCACACCCCAGGTGTTCCCCAAGGGAAGCCGCCCATCGGGTGGGGCCCCGCTGCTTGAGGCGCTCATGAGGCCCAGCTCCGAGGACGGGAGACCACTAGACCGAAGTCGTTCTACTTGATTTGTGGGTGGTTGAGAACACTCAATGAATCAACAAGATTCAGCTTGGTTTACCGTCATAGTCCTTGAGGTGGTAGTGGTGGCGTCTTTTCATCGCGGAAGGGGGATAGTTCCTCCAGTTTTGTCCTTGAAAAGTTTGGGGAGATGGGGAAGGTAACATCACTTTCCCCGTGTTGGGACGCAAAGTATGGAACTCTAAAAAAAGGCGAGAAGATCAGATCATGTGTTTTTGATAGCTGTGTTTGAGTGAATTGCTCAAAGCGAGGAATCTCATGTTCATCTTGGTGAAGGGTGATGAATCCACAACCTGCTAGCGACGGCCTCCAACCTAGTAGCGTCCTTGCTACTAGTAGTAATGCCCTAGCTACTAGTAGCGTTTTTGCTACTAGTAGCGATGCCCTTGTTACTACTAGCGATGGCCTGGGAGTTTGCTGAGCAGGGCCCCAGCAGCTCTGAGTCTGACAGTTCCACAAAGGGAATGTCTTATCCTACATGGTCTCTACATGTCACCTTCACTATGCTCTGGAATTGAGGATGGATAGAAGGACACTTCAATCACCAGAGAACAATTTGGGGGAAACCTTCCAACAACATGCTGCCCCACCAATTAACAATCAGGAAGCGGCCCCACCGGGATCCACCAGAGGAGAAGCCAGAGACAGAGCAAGAAGGAGGGAGTAGCAGCGACCCGGCGAAGCGTTCTCTTCGTCGTTCTCGAGCTGTTGGTTCTACCGGGCATCGGCCGGGTGCGTCGGCCGGAAGGGGCAGACGTTTGGTATGCGTGTAAAGAACCACGATATTCAGTGGACAAATGGTAGTGTCCTTTTTGAAGATCTGGCCATGGTAACCTGACAAGTCGGGTGTCACTGTTGCTGCAGGCGTTCTTGCATTTGGGAGGTCAAAATATTATCCCAGTGTTCACAGGGTCACTAGGCCTCCAGCCTACCAGCGATGGCCTCCAACCCAATAGCGATGGCCTCCACCAGCCTAATAGCGATGGCCATCCCAGATAGGTTCCCAACTGGTTGAGCATTTGCCCCTGCTATTCCTACAGGACCGCTGGGCCGCATTCCAGAAGCAGAGGTTCCAATGTGTTCTTCCCATGTTTTGCACGTATTGAGCACGCCATAGGATGGTGTTGCCATTGTTGCACTATGTCCCGCTATTTCCCAAGACATGTTTCAACGAGAAACCGAGCACTTCAAATCGCCGGCCCCACACAGCATACACCAAGCCTAGTCAAGGCAAGCTCTTTCAGTAATTGAGTGGTTTGGAGGGAAGCCTCTTCAGGAAACAAAGTGAACCTTTTGTTGATTCTCATATGACTATCGCTGTTAGGTTGGAGGCCATCGCCACTAGAGGAAACAAAGTGAACCTTTTGTTCCTAGTACCGTCCTTGCTCCTAGTAGTAAGGCCAGGAGCCCCTAGTAGCGTCCCTTGC